TGGGCCTGAAATTGATATTGGGCCGGCTGTCCAAGGAGGGCTGAAAAGATTGGGCTGAAAATATATATGTATCTCTTCTATATATAAAGTGGCTATCTAACGGAATTTTGTTGGTTTAACGGAAAAACTAACGGAACTTGTTGTTTTTAACAGAAAATCTTTTTTCTCCGTTAGTTTAATTATTTCCATTAAATAAGTCAAAAGCCGTTCTAATCAGTTTCTTTCCTTCAGCCCGTTAACTGACAAGCCCAGAAGAATAGGAGGAGTGGAAAAGGAGGAGTGTTTGCCAATTTTCTCTAATTACGTTACCTTTAGTTGGAATTGACGTTCAAGCAAAATTGAATCTCTGTAAATTTGACTTTGCAGGTTTTTTTTTTAAATGAATGGGATGCCTCCTTTCCTTGTGTCTTTATCAAATGGCCGGCTTAAATCTCACTGCATTGTTTAGTTCTGCACTCTAATTATTTGATAAATTGATTCAAAGAAAAAACTTGATGGGGTCTTTCATTTAAACCAAGATTATGTATTTTTAGTCAAATGAGCCTGGTTGGTTTTTCTCAAGATAATATGGATTTGGTTCTTGAAATCAAAGAAAAATGGTTTCTTTCTCCATCCTAACAGCCTTATTTTCTCATTCAGCTACCTACACCTCCTTCTTTCAGTGTTGTTCATACAGGTGGTTTCAATTTGAACAACAAGGTGAGTCCAAGTATATTGCTGATTATTATAATCCTTGCAATCTCATTCATCCAATTTGAAAGAGTAGAAAGAGTAGAGATGATTATATAAGCTCCATCTAATCCATTTCCTTTTGAGATAATGGGTATGATAATTTCTATTAAAATGAATCTGGTCACAATGCTGCAAGTTCTAATGGAAAATTAGAAAGCAAATGGAATGGGCATCTCAATCTCGCAACATTCTGTGAAAATATATACTGTTTTATTCCTTCTATGGGCACGTGCAATTATTAACAGCACAAAAATTGTATGCAAATTATGTTTGTAAGTTTGTTTTGGTATAACTAAATAACAACCGAAATGGGTATCTCTAAGCTCGCTTAGTCAATTTTTTTGCTCCAAATGTTTTCGAGTATTTGAAGTAATAGCTTTTTGCAGAAAGAAAGGGCAAATGTAAAGGTAAGGGACTGTATGCATCTCTATTTGGAGTTGGGGCTCCTGAGGCTCTGGTCATCGGGGTGGTGGCTTTGTTAGTTTTCGGGCCAAAGGGTCTTGCTGAGGTTAGTTTCAATTCTTCCATTTTTGGGTTGGGGCAGGGGTATAGTTCATTCATTTGATATTTCTCTTAAATTTCAAAATATTATTTTCTTATAGGTTTTAGATTCCAATAAACTAATATTTTATATTTACATATAAAATTGTGTATTATAACAAAGCTAAGTCCATGTTTAAGCTTATTGCATTTCTATTCATAGGGATGGTTTTAATGTGCGAAGTTATCTCTATTGTGAGGATGTTGCTGAGGCATTCGAATGTGTTCTTCACAAGGGAGAAGTTGGTCATGTTTACAACATTGGAACAACAAAGGAGAGAAGAGTGATTGATGTCGCCAAAGATATATGCAATTTATTTAACATGGATCCAGACAAAAGCATTCAGTTTGTGGATAACAGGCCATTCAACTATCAGAGATACTTCCTTGATGATCAGAAGCTGAAGAATTTGGGTTGGATTGAGAGGACTACATGGAATGAAGGTTTAAGAAAGACCATGGAGTGGTATACCAGCAATCCTGACACTCTTTTTTTCCCTTTTAATAAATTGTTATATGATTGCATTTGCATGAGATACATTGATAGCAGTTTAAGCTTATAGACTAAGTGGTTTACGGTATAGAAGATTTGGGGTTCAAATTCCGTCATCACTTGCTATGAAAATTGTGCTTGTGCATGTCTCGAATCATTAATTTAAGCTATGGTTTAGTAGTTATGTGTCATGTGATGTTTGAAAGGTTTGCTATTCAGGGTAGTTTTGTTTTGAACTAATCGTTCATTTCATTTGAAGTTTGTCCCTTAAAAAGAAATTGTAAAATTGTTTACACATCCCTTAACTTCAAAGTGAATGTTGAGCTTGACTTTCCTTAATTCTTTCCAGAGTACAGAAATTCTGCCAAAAGTACATTCTTGATATTAAATCAACTTATCCATTTCGCCTCAAATGAGGCACGGAGAAATGTTGTTGCAATTTGGTTTCTGAATTTGTCAATAAAAATAATGTTATCCGTCATACCATTCTTAACCCATGCCTCTTAACGCCTATCTAAAGAGTTTCTTATGTAAGTTGAATTGACGAAGCCCTATGACTTGGTGCAGGAAAATATTCATCCTACTTTTTAAGGGGAACACTGAAGAGTTTGGCAGACATGCAGAAGTTGCCAGATGAAGACTTTCCTTTCAGGAAACAGGTAACTAATATTGACGAAACTTATGTTTATGGCCTACCTTTCGGGAAGGGGACATAACTTAGGTTAGCAACATTTTGTTCCCAGTTACCGGTTGAGGACTTAATCATATTCTTTTTATTGAATTATGATCTGTCTATTGGACAAAATTTAGCAATTTATTTCAGTTTTTATACTGAGAAGCATCTTCCTCAATTTGTTAACATTGGTGTACAGAGCTTGGGGTTGATCAGACTTTGGATTTAAAGAATTTTCCTGTTTGAGAAACTATAGACACTATGCTTGACATCTAAAAATTTGATGTATTGGTCATTGATGTTCACGTAGGCTGTACTCTCTGCATTTTTTTCAACGAGATGCAAAATATCATTTGATCATGGATTTAATTTGTTTTTACCATTAATTAGTAATTACTTTGCACGTTTGCAGTTGCACGAGTGTGTGGGGGCTGCCCTTGGTGCTATGGGACCTAAGACCTTTTTGAATATTCTACCACTTAAGTTGGATGCTCAAGACCTATCTGAGGCTAATCTCTGGCTCTTTCCTATTCTGAAGCAATATATTGTTGGTGCCAATCTAAGCTTCTTTACAAAATCAATTTTACCCATGATTGGTGTGATGAAGCGGAAGTCTGCTATTGTATGAATCTCTTGATGCTAATTTTGATTTCCATTTTTTTTTCTGATGTGTACAAAATAACATATTCTCATGCATGCCTCAGCTTATTTAACCATGTTCGACTGACTACAAAATGGAAAAGAGTGTTTTATGACAATGTATGCATTCTTTTCATTTGGCTTGTAGAACTTATTTACTACTACATTCAAGAATTAGATCTGGAAAGGAACGCATTACGCCCTTTAGAACATTATTAATAAACAGGGGCGGAGCTGTATGGGGGCCTGGCGGGGGCCAGGCCCCCACACCATTTT